TACGTCTTTTTATTAGAAAATGTTTTTGTAATAGAGAAGTTTAATAGTTTCTTCAATTCAGTCGGTTTTTATTTGCACAGGTTCCCGCTTCGGAATTTATCAAACCAAAATTGGACTTGTAAAGTTGCTGCGAAATTATAAATTTGAAACTTGCAAAGAAACACAAATACCTTATCGTATAAATTCTAAAGCGGTGGTTTTATCTCCTCTTGGTGGGATAGTCTTGAAGATAACCAAAATTGAGAAGGCTTGAGAATCGATTGGTTTTGTATTGTAAATTTAAAGTAACTAGATTTAATGAAAAGTTTGTTTTAAAAATATGCCATTTGTTTTGAATATGTATGTGAAAACAGAATATATATATGTAAGTAAACTTTATGATGTAAATTCAGAGAAGTGCCAAACAAGAAAAATATTTGTAGAAAAGCGATTTATCTGTGTTCTGACAGGTCTGTCAACCCGCTCTTGTCGGTGCAATATGCAGATGTGTGTACGAGTAAAAATAAGAAATTGTTTTCGTGTCACGCTTATGACATTCACTTGTTCACTGAAAATCTCTTGTCATTTCAGTACAAAAATGTTATTATTTATTTGTTGCTGAGATGACGCGTGGAATACACACACAGATTTTTGTCTACATATTTGTTCTATAATGTCGCAATATTATGTACACATACGTGGAAGAGAGATTTCGTAATATAATATTAAAGTCTAACCAACATTCTTACATACACATTACACACACATACACACAAGCATACATTTAGCATTAGGTAATTTTTACGATTAATTTGTTGTTCTTTACGTGAAGAATTATGATTATAGAAGTGTGTGCCATCTTACAAAATCCAAAAAATCGACTTTATGTTGGAGTGTAACTAATGTGACAACCTAGTGAGCTTTTTATATATTTTATCAGAATATTCATTAAGAATAAGAATATTCATGTTTTATTATATATATATATCTTTCTTCGGAATGACTAAAAGAAATATATTAAGAAATAGCGAAATTATGGTGATTCAAGGTATGATACTGAAGTCCAGAACACGGTATGAGTTTCATGACATACAAATATCTTGTCCAAAAGCTGAGTTGTGTTTCGCGAGAACGAACAAAGAAGCAGAATTTTACTCTCGAGCAAGTCTCATGTGTTTTTGTTTAATTTCAGGAACAAATGTAAAAGATAAAAAGCTAATGCAAATAAATCTGAAGTACGGTGTATTCTACATTGATATGATATTTGTTAACACAGATGCATTCTTAATAATTAGATCTTAGCATTGTTATTGTTAGAAATTAATTTGCACATACTCGGACGAATCGTGCACACGTAGAAGGTTTTTAGCTATAGAAAATTCGATGTATAACGCCGAAACGGATGAAAAATTGCACATATTATAATTTACATTTGTACATCTTCAGGATTACGATCTTGATTAGCGAGAAAATAAAAACCAGATAATCATACGACTGTTAAATCACATACACACCGTGGATTACCATAACGCCACTATTTTTTATGTCTTTTATTCATCTTATCTTAAAATGTGCACAAAATGCATAGTAACCATTTCTACCAGCAATCTTTTCGATTTATAATCTTTTCTTCTAAAAACACTTCCTTTTTTTAATTTAAATTTCTATAAAAACTCATATATATTCAAACAGTCAGATTTTTAACGTGTACTGCTCGCACGGACATAACATATTTTTTAGACATCTAACGGATGTAATTCCACGTGACGTCCACCGAACATCTAATGGAGATTTATGTAGAATGTGTCCCGTGTTGGGTTGGTTACCATGCAATGTAATCGTAATGATTATATATAATGGCCAATAACTCTATATAGTTTATTCTAAACCACCGAGCGGGACTAGCGCCGCCTTCATCGAGGCTTATAAATCAAATTACCATCGCACCAACCGTAATAATTGAGCAAAAGACGATACATTTTAAGCGTCTATTTTATTGGAGTTCGAGTATTTAAAAATATTTTCATGTGTCAGAGAAAGCGGTTGCTTGTAGCGCGAACGTATAATTTGTAAGAATAAGCAGTACGAGAGAACGAAAAACAGGAGATTGTTTTTCGTTCATCGTCATCTCAATGAGCGATTAACGCAAGCTTAAAATATTCTGTCACTTTGGACGAATGGTCATTCAAGTTCACAATCTTTTGAGCTTTTGAGTATTCTGGCCGGAGAAGGGAAATGGTAAAAACGGATAAGATGGCACCCTGAGTCGAAGAAGCACGGTCTGCAGGAAAGAACTTTATATATATATACATATATGTATACGTATATATGTATATATACATATATATATATATACACATATATGTATATATGTATTCGTTTAATTTTTCTTACGTTTTTCTTTACTACGCGTCGCGCACGAGTCATATCGGATCGACAAAACATAATACGCGGTGATGTCGAGATTATAAAATAATATTTTTATCCTGAGCTACAAGATTCTATAAATGAAAAAAGAAAAAGAGAGAGAGAGAGAGAAGAGAGAAAAAGAAAGAGAGAGAGAGCGAGTGTTAAGAGTGAGACGCTCTCGTGAAGTCCCTCTTAGCCGACGATGCTGTGGTGGCGGAGGAAGTATTGGTTTTGCCGCCCTTCCCTTCGGGCGGGTGCTTGTGAGTGCTCGTCGTGGACTTCCTCGGTGACTGGATCTGCGTCGTCGACAGTCCGCTCACCGGATACTTGTTTCTGCTGAAAGTCGTTCCGCTGCTGTTTCGCGTGCTGCTCTTCGTGGACGTAGCGGTGGACGTAGTAGTTTCGCTGGGATGCTTCGGCAGAACAAAGGCCTTAGTTTGTTTCAGCAGGTATTGATCGTTGCACAGTGCGGAAATCAATGGCAGATCCATGTTGCGGCTCTTCTCGCGAAGCGTTCGTATGTCCAACATGCCGGCGTCCTTTCCTTCATCGTTTTCTTCCGTATTGCCACTGCCCATCTTGCTAGATTTGTTTGGGATCGCGGAGGTCGACGAGGAAGCTGCCGGCGAAGAAGCCGACGGCAACGGTTGACTTTTCTCAAGTTTCTGAAACAAACATAGTTCGCGTTAAGTACATGTATAATAAAGAGTGGAAATTAATTGTTTCTTGAATTTTTGATATTATTTTAATTACTTGTATTTCGTAGGGTGGCGGCGGCGGAGGTGGCGGTAATCTGCGATACTTGGACTGCGGCAGAGACTGCATTTTACTCGTGAGACTGTCCAAACATTTGAGAATATTCTCGTCGCTTCTGGTCCGCGAGAACGTGTGCAACGTGTGAGAAGGCGCCGGCGGTTCCCTTAGACTGTGACTTCCGGTGGACGAAGTCGCGCCGCTGTACAACGAACTGGTGCTAGCGGCGTAGAGACTGTTCAGATTGCTGTGCGTTAGATAATTGCCGGCGGAGCTACCTGTGTCACTCAGATTCAGATTGGACGCGTATTTGGACTGCGAGGAGAACGAGGAACCTGGAAGGTAGGGCGTGCTGCGATACATCACCGAGGATTTGTTGAAGGAAGGATACGGCGGCGGCGGATACGCGGCCATGGCTGCCATAATAGAGCCCTGCTTGGCGTCGATGTACTCCTGCTTCGACACCGCCGGATCCTTAAGCGGAAACATAACGTAGTCGACGTCAGAGTACAACTGCTGTTTGTACTGTTCTATCTGCGATCGGGTGACCTGACTCGTGTAAACGGTCGCCAAACTGGACACCGGCTGTTGCGACGAAGTCGGAGGTGGCGGAGGTGGCTGCCGCGGATGTACCATCGGAGGCGGAGGTAGAGGCGGCGGTGGAGGTGGCGGTGCTGTCAAATACGGCAGAAGCACCGGGGGACCACCTCGAGAAGCGTGCACGTCCAAATAATTGTTCGGACCTACTACGAGGGCAGCGACCGGCGCGTGTACCGGAGTGGGCTTCATTTTATCACCCGGATAAGTGGGCGGTTGAATTCGAGGCGGTGGTTTTGGCGCGATAGTCGCGGCGATGTCACCGACAGTGGTCTTCGCGATTCTTGGGACGATACCGGTCGCCGTCGATACATCGGGATACGGCGGCGGCGGCGGTGGCGGCTCTCGCGGCGTAATCGCATCGTTTCGCGGAGGAGTGGGTGGCGGTATTTGAATTCTTTCTCGCGGCAAGGTGTACGGAGGTGGCGGCGGCGGTGGATCGACTCGTCTGGGCGGCAAAGGAACAAAATCACCTCCACGAGTCGCATTGTACGGCGGTGGCGGTGGTGGTTCTCGCTCCCGATCCAATTCCGGTATGTTCGATCTCTTCGGAACGTTGATCGTCGCGTAGTCGATGTTCTCCACCGGGTAAGGAGGCGGTGGTAGCAACTGCCGATCGCTGTCCGTCCTAGGCGGCGGTGGCGGAGGTGGCGGCGGAGGAGGAAGCGGCATAGTCACGTAATCGCAGTCCGAATCCATCGAATTGCTGATAGTCTTGCGCGGAGGGTACCTGCCGACTATTAGATCCGACAACTCGTCAGCCGACAGCAACGGTCTTACACTGGATGGATCGCTGCCGTCGCCGCGGAAACTGTCCGCGCTGAGGATGCTGTTGCTTCGCGAACGAAGATCTTCCAGTTGTTGATTCAAAGAGACTCCGTCGTCGTCGCCCTTGCAGACGCTATATATCGGTTCCTGGTCTTCCGTACCGACGTCCTCGGTGTAAACGTCGCTCTCGGAACGCAGCTCGCTGTGAATGGTGTAAAAACCGGACGTGACGGACGCTTCGTCAGTGGTGGATTGAACGGAGCTCAAAGCGCAAACGCTCGCCGCTGAAGACTCGTTGGTGTCGCCCGTGGGTGAGTACAGATTATCGCCGATTCTTTCATCTTGCATCTCGCTGCTTCTTAGTGTGTACACACCGCTAGTTTCACTCGCGATATCAGTACCTGAAAAGTGTTGATAATTTAAATTTAAATTATTCGCGCAAATTCAAATAATTCGAATTTTAACAATTTAAAAACCAAGTCTTTTTAAAAACCAAGTCAATTGAAGACACAAAAATTGTTTATATGATAGTTTATAAGACCATTTGTTAAATTGTGATTTAGTCATTTTTTCTATTCGCGCTCACCTGTGTACTTGCCCGTTTTCTTACACCTGTCGTAAATAGCGCCTGGAAAACTCGCCGTCTCCGACGAGACCGCGGAATTTTGCGCCGTGTGCGAATAACCGAGTTCCAGGCTGGAGGTCGCCGAGGCGCGGCGCATTCGCGACGTTCCGCCTGCAGGTGTATTAACAACAACGACCGTGCTGCAGCTGCTGCTACACTGCGAACCCTCAGCAGCCGTCGCCGCGCTCGACGCGAGTCGCAACGCGACCGACGTCGAAGTGGCATCGGAACCGTCGACTTCTAAAAATTGTCCTGAAATCACAATCCGTGGTCTTTGCTGATTTTTAATTAAAAGATAAGTATATCACAATGATATATAGTTTTTTTTTTATTTTTAGAGAGAGATTTCGATAATAAATGATTATCTCTCAAAACCTTAGATTTTTACGTCGTTGAAACTTTTAATGCTTTTTTTCAACGCTGATTACATAAATAAATAAAAAGAGATTTCTATCATCAACCAAAGCTTACCATCGATAATAGAAGCGGGAGAAGATGGCATTGAGCGATTGTCCGTGTCCGTGTTTGTGCCATTTAAAATCCTGCTCGGCGAGGTCGAGTAGGGTGTTGTCTCGGTAAGACGCGGTAAACACTCGGTCGACACTGGTGCGGTATCCGGTTCATCCTCGCTGTGCACCCGATCGCTAACTATACCGGATGTGGTATTGGAAGATGTGCTCGAAATGACGGAAATGCGCTGATCGCCGCGCGCGCCGCGCGCCGTTAAGCTCAGCTTGCATCGAGTAGGATACATGTAACAGTCCCGCAGGACTTTCCTTTCTACAAACCACGTTTTCGGTTTAATCAATTAAATCGATTTATTATAAAAAAAAATGTTACGAAAAAAACGCTATTTATTTTATTATAAAATAGAATTATAAAAATTCAAAATTTTCTCTCTTGCTAATATAAAAATTAAACAAGTAAAAAAAGTCAAATTTGATTATTTAATGTTCACATAATTGCTTAAGACCTGGTTTACACAAGACGGTACAAAACACCTTGTGTAAACTAAGTCTAAGAGGATACTGAACCGACGAGTGACCTTCGCTTCAGCTACCACTCAACCACTATGCTGTCGGGTAAATGCGCCATCTCTCGGGACCGAATTGGAAATAAGAATAAATGACATGATCTCTGTATGTCTCTTCGGCGTTTCTTTAAAAATGTAGTAATCTTAGAGTTCTAAAATTTCTCTTCCCACAAGGCTTCAAAATTCTTTTTCGAAGCAATCAAAATATTCGTTCTATGTTTCTAGTTTTTGCTGAAGGTATTTTTATTTGGATTTGTACGGCCAAAAGTTTGCATATAAAGCGAAGATGCAGTTTATGTAATAACAGTCTATAAACTGTTTTTTTGTTTTTCTTGTATTCTTATGCTTTGTTTAATTCTTTACTATATTTTATTTATTTCTGAAAAAGCAGTTTTCATTTTGATTAAGTTTTTACGAAAATTTGAAATTACAAAATGTGAGTAAAACAAGACGGTTCAGCATTCTCTTACAAAATGAATGAATCTTTCATTTCCATCAGATTATCAAAATTAAATAAAAATGATAACGCAATATCTTACCTTCTTCTTCTCGTTTTTTGGCTTCGTTCACCCTGGGCGCTATTGCCATGGAGAATTGATGGGTGTCGCGGCAAAGTCCCCAGAGAAGTTTGCTTTTGTCATCGCATCCGCTATAGAGAGTGAGTTTGTCCGGTTGATCGACCGCTCGTATCTCAAACTTCTTGCGCTGTTTCATGAAAAAACAATCAAGATTTTAAAGAAATGTGTTGATAAATAATAAGCTTTTAAAGAATTTTTTTTCATGTATTATATATCTTTTAAATAATCTTTTAAAATATTTTATTTTTAGCACAAGATATTTATAATTTTTTTCAACGTGATTCCATGATTTCTAGAAATGCTTACATCAAAAGAGAGTTTTCCGATGCTGTTCCAGGCGAAGACGCGCGGTGTCTCCTCCTCGACGTAGATTCGCACTCCGCGAGCGCAAATCGCCAAGAGTATACGTCCGGGTCCGGTCTCGTTCTTGCTACGACGCAGTCGATACAGGTGAGCGTTGAGCGGCGCCTCCAACTGTACCGCCTCCCGGATGTATTGCAGCTCTGCCTCCTCCCTGGAGAGCCCGTTATTCTCCCTGTGCTGAGCCGCAAGCACGGCAAGCACGTTCGACTCGAGGCACATCTGCAAGCGTTTGTGTTGTGTTCTTAGAATAGCAAGTTTTTTTTTAGCAATTTACAAAATTCAAGACTTAAAAAAAAAAAATAAGAAGTTTTCGTGACGTCTTTCTTCTGTGTTCGGTGCGGAAAAAAAATAATATAGAAAGAAATATTAAATTTCTCAATGATATTTTTGAGTGATATATCTAGCACATTTCAATCGCTGAACACAACAATTCTTGTCAGTCTTGAGAAATCGAAAACTGAAAATTCAGCTCACGTGTGAAGGAAGGTAATCCGTGGACTTGCAATAGCCGACAGATCCCGCGTGCGGTCTGTGCCGTTCCTCGGAGTAGTCGCCAAGGTCGGCCTGAAGGGCGAGTCCGGCGAGCACGAGCAGCTGCGTGACGATGGACGGCTCGTGAAGGGGATGGTGAGAATGGAGGCTCTCGACTCCGCCGCCATGCCTGACGACGTTGTCGCGCAGTTGCAGATAGTAGTGATGCCTCGTCGTCTCATCGCTTGAACAACAAAACACGCTTCTAGCTACAGAGCTACTTAACGAATTAACCGAGAGAGATTACGCGTTAATCAATTAAAAGTTACGTTTGTTGATGTCATCACAAAATAAAAAAAAATGTGGAAAAATTGTGTGTATGTGTGTGTGTGTTGCGATTATTAACAATTATTAACGAGTTTTATATCGCAACACAAAGTCATAATCTTGCTGTTATTGTAGACGAGATGATATCGAACGCCGCGTCAAGAACCACCGCCGTCAGTTCAGAAGAAGCGCGGAGAGAAATTCGGAACGAGAACCGGCAAGCATCATCATTAACCAAGTCGGAAGCATCGGCGAGGACGGCACGGCGGAATTTGAGGTCCGCACGGCCCGGGGCTCTGATGTTGTAGCTCGAGAATTAAACCCTCGTCGACGCGAACGTGCGGTGAATCGCCAAGTCCGATATAAATCATGGGTTTCGAGTGGAAATCAGAAACCGACTATATGGATCGGTATAATTACCCGAGGAAGCCCGGAGAGAAAGAGAGAATACTTCCATTTAATGCGCACAGTATATCTATCACACACACGCGCGTCATATAATAATTTATAATTACAAGAATAGGTCTCGGCTACCGGGCGGGAGTCCAAAGTTCGCGACTGCACATATGCGAGTATCTTTCGTACGAAAGCTTCGAAGTTATTGCGTAACCTGTGACGTTTTCAAAAAAAAAAAAAAAAAAAAAAAAAAAAAACAACGAGAGCCGGATTAAGTTTTTAAAAAGAGCGTAAAAATCCAGTCGCCTCCGTCTTCGTCAACTCAAACTCCAATCCAAGCCACACTTTTGACTTTCGTGGAAGAAAATCTCGCGAAAATTAAACTTAATTGGATTAACTCGGATTGCGCGGGCTCGCTTCTGGAGTTCGGAACTGCTACTTGTCTCATTTTGTATCTTTCTCATGTTTCTTTTTCCACCGCACGCGGCGCGGAGCGCCTTGTAATCGCGCGCGACACCGGCGCGTATATATCTAGAAGAGAAAAAAACGGCCGAGTGTGCGCGTTTTGCATAGTGGCAAAATTTAACCCGCGTGTATATATTCCGGCGCGTTCATGAATTCCGCGAATCGAATCGAATTCCGCGATCGGGAACCAAATTCTCTCGCTGCTTCTTTCATTCGACGATGCGTGTCGTCCGCATCCGAAAGCGGATATTTACGTTGTAGTAGCAGACCCGAGACTCGCCTTCGCTACTTCGGGGGGAAGCAGGCTCGCTAATGTGTGGACCTTTTTAACAATTAATCAAGAAACGCCGTCGAGATGCGGCGCTGATTTCTTCCGAGAATCCACCATAGAGAAAAAGCATAGAGACACGCGGTCCGTTTCGAATAAAATATGAACATCTCTCTCACCTCAAGAGTAATGGAGTGTCGACGTAGAAATGAACTCGAAAGTACAAGACGAAGGCCGGTCTCCCGCTGCTGTCTAAACCCTGAAAAAAAACAATTAATAATAATAATAATAATAACACACGCGTGTAACGCAAAACTATAAATCGTGCGCGTAACAAACTGTAAATCGAAATAGATGATACAGAGAGATCGCATGCATAGAGTTCTAACAATGGCTGTCACATGCGCGTCGCGACTGCAAACACGCGCCATGATTGACATGTACGCATATATAATACCGGCGCATATTTAGCGTATACACGGGGGAACCGACGAACAACTGTTTCGATGAATAAACAAGTAACGCGAGACGTATTGTTCTCTAATGCGGCACTACTGTCCGCCGCGATTGTCGATATCTAAAACCGACATGACAATTCTCGACGGATCTCGTCGTACAGGATGTTTCGTGACGAGCAAGAATAAACTTCGCGACAATCGTTTATTGCGGTAATTTATATTTGAACGGAGAACGAAATACGATATCTCCTCGTATCGAATCGAGGAAACACGAAATATTATTATCCGTTCCGATGACGCATCTTCACCGGAGGCGAAGAGCGATCTCAAAAGTTTCATTAACACAAATTAGAGACTGCACAAATACACACGCGCATAGAAACGCTTGGCTGCTAAGCAGTGATCCTTACAATGCGCTCGATACATCATCCAATGAGAAGCGGAAAAAAAAAAGCTAGGGCGTATCACGGGGAAAGAGGGAAGAGGGGAAAGGGGAGGAGAGAGGAAAGGACAGGTACCAATAACGCGGGGCCCCCATTCTAAATTCGGTAGCCGAAAATTAAACCGGGGAAGGCCTTTTTGGTCGCGTCTAGACCTAGACCCTCCGGTCAAATCGCAGCAAATTACACCGTCGGCTCCATCCGCATATTTTACGAACCATAAATATTAATCCACTACAGCGCACATTCTTTCCCCCCCCCCCACCTTTCTAACTTTTTTTACTTCAGCATCCACCTTCTATGCTGTCTTTGTCAGCCGTCATCTTCTCTTCTCTTCGCGTACTGGATACAGTCATCGCTAAAATTGAGAAACCAGGCCAACCGCTCATTACACGGTTCTTCTGCGTATTCGGTGTGTGCGTTAACAGATCCAAGGCCGTTTCCTAATGTAAGTCGTCGGATGTGAGTTCAGCGTGTAAAGACAACGGAGAAAAAAAAAAAAGACACAGAGCGGCGCATAAATATTCCCGATATGTGTTCCGATAATTTCCGAGCGGAGATAGAATAAAAAAAATTAAAAAAATAAAAAAAACAAATGGAGCGGAGAGGGACATCGTTGTGATATCTCCAAATCTGTTACGCGGTGATTGGGCCTTCGTTTGGCTAATGACGAGCCGCGCCAATAACCAATAAATACTCGTTCGGTAAACCCGGAGCTACCGCACTACGTACTTATCTCCGATGAACATCAGCCCCGGAGGATTTCTTGCGTGCCGAGCGCGCAAGTGGGTTCCTCGAGGGGGCCTTAGCTATTAAAAGTGGTACCCTTCCCACTCTCTTCTTCCTCATCACGCGCGCGACACTGTTGTCACCAGTCGCTATACTATGTACCGTTTCTTCTACAGCATTTTCGAACGAGAAGCGAGAACTCAATCCGGATTATATAATCGAGCGAGATCCGATTTTCGCGAATATTTGTCGGAATACCGCATTTGGGCAATAGATATTCGCCTTTGTGTGTTAATTAAATTTTTCTAAAACTCAACGGACACGTTTCCTCCTACTACGGCTATAAAATTTTATTCGTTGTCAAGCAATGTAGCGTGTGCAATCGAATGCAACTTTTTTTTTTTTTTTTACTCTTTATCTATCGTTTTTTTCTTCTCTTCCTGCACTCTCGACGAGTTGCCAGGATATATTGCGGCTACTCGTCTTGAGGGAGAGCCGCTGCTGCTGTATGCTTGTTTAACACTACCCTCAAGGCAAAACGCACGGTCGCCATCGCACACCCATGGATGAAAATGCTAATTCGAGCAAGGTAGCCTGCACTGTATATGCGCTACACGTCCTTCCCTCCCTCCTTCCCCTCCTTCATCTTCTTCTCGTTCCTTCGTCGTTCGTAAATTGTCTTTTCTTTTTTCATTTCCTCTCTCGTTCTGCTATTCAATCTAAGTTCGCGATTGTTTGCGAAACGAACGAACATTATTCGAGAGTAACAAAGCAGACGCATGAGAATTGTAAGATGTATATAAGACCATAGAATAAATAATTCAAAACAAAAATAAAAAATACGCCAATGATCAATAACCTAATTAAATATAATTAACAAGAGATCATAAAATGAGTAAGAAAGTTATGAGGTAAAAAGATATAAAAATTCAATTTAAAAAAAAACAAAGAACGTATCTCAGGCTCAAGACACTCCTTTTTCTTCACGTCGAGAATATCTGGATATATATATATATCTGAATACATTCACTTATTATCTGTATTTAAATAAGATTAATCGATAGTGTTTTTAAATTTTAAATTTTAAATTTGTTTTTAAATTTCAAATTTCCCGAGTTCTTTTTCTTCAAAATTATTATTAGGATAATAATATTTAATTGTTTCTACGATAAAAATCAGGGCAATAAATAAGCAGTTACTTACGTATGTATGAGAATTTCGCCAATTTTTCGGAGCGTACTTGTTTAACTTATTCTCGGGGTCCACAAATAGATATTCACCGTCTGAAAAACAACAAAAATTAATTTAATAATTTAGATTATTTTAACATACATATTGGGTGCAAAAGTTTTGTTGAGTTTTGTGATAAAAAAAGAAATCAAATAATTTTATTAAAAACGATTTATTCATTCTACCAAGTAAGTCATCATTGTTTTCTATTATCTTTTGCTATTGCAGTTGATGAAATACAATAAATTGTTTTTAATAAAATTACTTGGCCCATTTTTTCTCTCTGCCACAAAATTTATTCAAAAATTTTTGCGTTCAAAAACCTTTTGCACTCACCCAATAGAACACAATGCGATACACAATAATACGGTCAAAACTCTGAAAACTTTCTATTTTTCCCGAAAAGAAATACGGAATCCCTCACCGGGAAAATGATTGTATTCCCGAATTCTTTAATATATTGCCAGAAACCACTCCGTTTCCGCTTGTATTGTGATTTAAAATGGAGACGCGAATGCGGACGCACGCAACGTCATTAATGCGTCCCGGTGTACAGGCCGAGACATCCAAAATAAGCACATATATAGAGGGCGCGGAGGTACCCCGCGCCGATGTCCCGATATGGTTCTTCTCTCTTCTGGAGTCTCATTCTGTTCACGCGAGTTTTTGCACGGCTGACAAGCCGAAATGCCGATACTCTCTCTCTAAACGAGCGAAACAATGAAAGAGCACGGCGCAGGCAGGAGAGTCGTTCTCGTGAATGAGAGGGCCCCGCTGCAAACCTGTCCTGCCTGCACGAGGACCAGACACTCGGGGCTCTTACGGCACGATAACGCGACATGCTTTCCAAACTGGAACTCGATTTTTGAACGGGGAACTGTAATTCGTGGATCGCGGGACCTTCTCGGGAGAGGAAAACAGAGAAAAAGAAAAAGAGAGAGAACGAGAGAGAGAGAGAGAGAGAGAGAGAGACTCCCGATTGCAGTTGTCGCTCCAGCAGACTAACTGCAGTTATTGCCGCACACGCGAGCATAAAACACTTTCGCGACGGGGCAATAAAGTTGCTCGTAAGTACGGCATAGATTTATCTTCGACACTACGCCAATAGAGGCTACCAGCATTCGCCCTTTGCTCATAAATCCGTACTAAAATCTACTGTATCCAATATATCTTCCTGACACTAAGCCTTCTGCTTAGCGGACGCGTATACCGTCTGTTCTTTCAGGAACAATGTTGCTACAAATCACGCGTTTAATTTCGAGAAAATAAATTATACGGATTATTAAATGTATCATTATTAATTATGTATATACACACACACAAACGGTAATTACGCTCGTTTTCTGCTCGTAAAAAAATAATAAATGAAGCATCGCATTTTTATCGACGTAAATTTCAAAAAATGTCGCGAATCTTTTTCTCTCTCGTAAACTATAAATTTTGCACGACATAAATCGCATATTTTTTTTTCGAGTGAGGTTTGTTGCAAAACTGCAACGTATCTAACATTGCCTTAAAGCCGCCAGAGCTCCTTCTTCGATGCGCGCTCACTCTCTCACCGCGGCGAAGGAGCACCTGTGTTACCCGAGGTATAACTCGACCATTACAGGGGAATGTTGCTCGAGGGCTAACCCTGGCCCTCACATAACCATCTATTGGAGCCATTGGGTCCATCGTATTCCTTCGAGAAATACAGCATTTCGCCAGTCGGGACAGGGCACAATCTCCCCCCCCTCTCTCCCCCGACTCTTTATCTCATTCGGACTCAAATGAATCCACGTCGCGATTTGCTGGTTTTTTTACATTTTACTGTTTCGCGCTCTAAATGTTATCCCCCCCCCCCCCCGTCTAAACACAAATTACGCTAAATTGATGATCTCTTCTTTCCGATGTACTGGATACTCCCATCAAAATAAATCACGCAGGATACAGATAACGCGATCTGCTTCGGTGTGCATAAAAGCGCAACATGTATATATCCGGTCTCTTTTGAGAGAGAAAGAGACAGGTGCAGCGCGCATCGCGTTTTGTATATTACCCGGAACATCCCGGAAAAACCGGGAAAAAGCGGCCGCCCGTATCGTCACAAAAAAGACTCTAACGAATCGAATTATCTCATGAACCCCTCCGAGTTTCCTAGAAAGAAACAATACGCCTCTCTGTTTTTTCTTTCTCTAATTCACGTGGCTCACAGCAATGCGCCGTAACCATAATTACACCCGTAATCATTCCTGATTGCCGAGAGAGGGAATTCAACCTGCTCTTTTCTGCCTTGTGATATTCTCGCTAGCTATCCTTCCACCCGATCCGTCTCTCTTCGTACCGCCGGAGTCAAGGAAGAGAGGAAGAGAGAGAAGCTTCTTTCGAGGAATCTGGCGGACGTGCCTGGTCGCCGTTTCGCTTTTAGTCGCCCGGGAGAAAAGACCTTTCCCTCGTCGTATAATCACGTAATAGTATCGAATTTATCTCGTTATTTTTTCGGATATTTTTAGTCCTCAAAATGGCGCGTGAGACAATAACGAACAGAGACAAAATTTTTTTAACGTAAAGATAAAACGTGAGAAACATTAAGCGAAAACAAAGCAGAACTGTGGGAGAAAGTGTTTTCTCGTTGAGGCTTGAGTGTGTGTTAATTTTGCGGATTTCGATCGAGTTTTTTGTATAGAAACAAACACTAAGTAAAAGCGACGAATTTATCAAACCTAGATATCGATGTTATTGGCCGACTTCTTTGTAACTCTCATCACCTTTTGTGACGCACAATTGACCCCCTGAGGATGACGCGTCATTGATACGGTGGCGTGACCAATGTGGAATGCCATCTGCACAATTGGGCGGCATTACCTGCTGTTTCGGATCCTATTTCAAGATTTTCTGTTCTGTGACTCGAAGAAATCTCGTAGAAAAGGAGAGAGAAAAACCAAACCAGAAAAAGCGACGGAGATCGGAAGAACGAGAAAAGTTCCGATTTGTACGCAAAAGAGATATGGTGGTAAAAAAAGATCCGCCATAAATTGTTGCTGCCACAACATAGGGATTCTCTTTGACAAAGCGTCCTCACACTACAATGATTCCTTTTCTATTTCATCTTTAACCGCAATATGTTCTCTTCTCTTCTGAACGTATATACATTGTACGTATGGGTTTCCAGTAGCAATCGCATAAATATAAATCAAACGGTGACGCGTTTTAATTTGTAAAACGCCATTACACTTTATGAATGACCCATTCATGTAGACTCTCGCTTCATGAACATGTGTTTGCGTTATTACGATGTGCGGAAGAAAAGAGATAGAGAACAGGAGAGAGAGAGAGAGAGAGAGAGAGAGAGAGAGAGAGAGAGAGAGAGAGAGAGAGAGAGAATAGAAATAAAGAAAGGACAGATGTGTAAGATGTAATATAAAAAGGAAAACAATTTATCTATGCCATAGATAAATCTCTTCGAGGAATTTTTTCTACTCGATCCCGCATAAAACATCATAACGTTTTTGATTCCTGGAATTCCAAAGGAGATTGATTTAGACGAAGATAAAACGGAGAAAAGAGCAGATCTCTTCCACAAACAGATCGAAGAGTCTCTCGCTGATATTCGGCAAATGGCGCGGAGGGAATTGTGCTGCTGACGAAAGTGTTGGCGGCTGCGGAGATTCGCCAGACAAGGACCGTCGTCGCCGTGCAAAGCGTGCGGTGCAAAGAACCGAGGTGGAGGGTGGAAGGAAAAGAGGAAAGAAGAAAAGAGGGAGAAGGACGCATTGGAGTCCTGTTGTGACGCAGCTTCAGCTTCGCCGCGATATATATCCCCCTGGACCTGTGCCGGGGCCCCTATTCTCCGCTACTTCCCCGCTGTTCCCCTCTCTTCCGCCCGTTCCGGGGCCCGGTTGGACCTTCTCGCTCCTTTCCACCACCGCGTCGTCGCGCGCCGACGATCCCTGTCCTCCTCGGCGCCCTCCTTCCACATTCCTGTGTGCGGAGCCGCCGCGTCGCGCCGGCAGAGAGACGCTCACGACCAGGAGATGGAATACGAGAGGCCTTATACAAATCACCGGAGCTACCGTCTTACCCGGGCGCGCTCCGCGTTCTCTCTCTCTTTTTCTCTCCCGCGCCGTCTCCCTTCCGTTCGCTTTTCTCCCTCTATCGTCTACCTGATCCCTTTCTTTTTTCCAGCGCTCGTCATTCTCCTCCGTCTTATTGGCAACCTATTATCTCTCTCATTTATCGCATTCCGTTCTCCCCTTCTCCAACCCTTCTCTCTCACTCGGTCTCTCTCTCTCTCTCTCTCTCTCTCTCTCTCTCTTGCGCGCATCTGCGCGCGCTCACGGTTTTTTCGTTCCGACATCCTTTCATCCTCGTTCGGTCTTTTCTCGTGCGTTTGTGCGCGTAATATCGGCTCCTCTCTTTCCTGCCCACTCGGAGTTTTGTGTGCACTCGGATTTCTCATCGTCGAGAAAAAAAATCCAATGTTTCCCATTAATTACTCGCGACACACAATACCCGGGTTTAATCATTAAATTATGTTACACACACGGGAAGAATAAATTTTCACGACAAGTACAGGCATTTTCTTCAGGAGAACAGGACGAGAATAATCAAGCAATATGTTCGCACAAATATAATAAGACATTGTTTTTTTTTTCTTTTTTTTTTTTTAATTAATGAAGCAGATGCATTACTTTGTGAAGAGTTGATTGAAATGAAGAATAATTGATTTAAATGAACCGAGAGTGTTTCGCAATGAAAAACAATGACAAAAAATGAGAAATATGTAAACTGACTCTAGAACGGGTTATGAAAATTCATATAGAAGATCAAGTGATAGAAAGAGACGAGCCGTCGAAAAGGATCGAGGAAAGTCGATCGAAGTCTCATTTAAAAGCGATATAGAAAGGAAAAGTCGATACTATTTAGCGGAGCGAAGGAAGACTCGCGAAGTTCAAACGCGACTTCGGCCAGTCTGTGAGGCGCGTGTGGAGAGTGCGAGAGAGCTGCCTGTCTTTTTATACTTGTTCTTCAGGTGCATTTTTTCCTGTCGTGCCGTGGCTCGCGCGTCTCAAAAACCCGCCAGCTCAACTGGTGATGGTGCTTCGCTGGAATGTAGAAGGGATAGGTGGGATGTGGAGGCTCGTGGGCCCTTTGAGAGCCCCGAGAGGGTCTTCGCCCCGATGGTGGGGAGCTCACCAGTCGGACCGGCTTGGTACGATTGGTGGAGAGCAAAGTGAGGGTAGCGATGAACGCGCGTGAGCCGTGCGGTATGCAGAAAGACCTGACGATTAGTCAAGAGGCCCAGACGTCTCGCTAGTTTAATGTTTACGCGATTTCTCGCCACAGAGAGAGAGAGAGAGAGAGAGAGAGAGATTCAGACAACAATGCGAAGAAGATCGTAACGTCTATCTTTCGAATGCGATCCCTTTTGATCCACGAGCCAAAGAATGCAAGAAATGCACTGCTACAGACTGCGCGCATTTTCTCTTGCATTCTTTTGTAATCTCCATTTCCGTAGCCTCCATATTGAACTATTGAACACAATCGTAAAAGAAAGCTTGTTCTGTTGACGTATTGGGTGTAGTTTACTCATTCAGACTCTAGTATAGAGAATAAAGTAACATAGATAATACACATTTGATAAATCACCAGAGTGTCGGTAATTCGATCCAATTTTATCGGTATGAAAATTGATCTCGCGTATGGTTAAGAGCGCGAGGGCGGAAATATGTATAAGAGAGAGACTGCGCAACGCAACTCACCAGACAATATTGCTAGGCCGAAAAGTTCGCAGTCTCGCATGCCTTGTTGGCTGAGAATCGAGCATGTCTGCGTATAAACCTCCTTCACTCTCGATTTTGCCTGAAATTTTGCAAAACAATCGATATTTCAAACACCTGAGAATTATATTAATAGTTTTTTTTATAAAGCTGTTTTCTTCGTGAATTTTTTTAAAGTGTTTTTTTGAAATGTTTTAAATATACGATATATTATATCTCTTTATCAAATTAAAGATGAGCAATATTTGTTTATGACTTGTTCGCAAATGAACATTAATTGTCTCACCTCAACGACGAAGTAGAGAGGATCACCGGGAAGAGCGTGTACGGCGAGATAGCGGCTGGCGGACACCAGGGGTTGAAGGCAAGACCGCGCAGCCGTGACACCGCTACCACGCATACTGCATGCTTCATTTCGTCGCTGCTACGCCCAGCGTTCTCACTGCAAACAGCAAATCACAAATCTCTGCATATCAAACGCGCTAAATATAATTTTAAAATAAAATTGTAAATCCTATTTTTAACAAATAAAGCTTATTGAAGCTCGATAAGTTACTAAACTAAGAAATAATTATGGTCATCCGAGCCGATCGCAGGATGTGCGGAAAACTACGTATATATATATATATACGTAGTTTTCCGCACAACATCCTGTAGTTGGGATCTCTCATATATGTGATGCAAATCTAGCATCCAATATGAATTTTAAGAATTGATATTCAATTCAAAAAACTCGCGTGTAAAAATTTACACTCGAACAAATATATGCATATATATATATATATATATATATACGTAGTTTTCCGCACATCCTGCGATCGGCTCGGATGACCGTAATTATATCCTATTTTTAATTTTGTGCACCGTTTTGAAAAAAAAAAAAAAAGAAAAAAACGTTTAATTTCAGTGAATTTTGTTTGAGCTGTCGTATATATAATTTACTTGATTGTCAAGTTATAATATATCTTTGTCATCGATGACCGTATCTCGACGAGAACGCGAATATATATTCAATGGAATAATTGATGTTCTCGCAATAGACCGCAATCATGTCGACATAACGCGACAACTAACGGCTACGGGGTAACAATGGCCGGCATGTTGGCGGCGCGCACAAATGGAAGTATGCAAATGGAATAAACGGTAAGCAGTCAGCGACGAATTACGACGGTATTTCCGTGGAATTCTGCAGCGCGCGCGCTCTCTCAAAGCTCGCAGTTATAAAGCTCCGTGATTCGCGCGCAGTTTACGCGCGCACGCGCCGCTTATATGAAAAGGATCCGTGATAAATCGTCGGATTGCTGCCGGCGTTACTCCGGCTTTTATCCACGAGCAATGAGAAAAGCGAGATTGCACAGAATATCCAGATCAGAAATCTGAAAGGAAAACAAAAAAATGACTGATCGTCGAAATCGCATCTTCGATCGCCTCGATTTGGTGATCCGCGGGAATGCGATCAGCGATCACAATTTGATTTCTTTCCGAAATAGACGCGTTTTCTTTCTTGAAAGTCGTCTGGCCTCGAGTCGCAGCAGCGCGATAATCAAGAAAATTGACTAATGGACGATCCACGAAAGAACAGAAAGGAGGAGAGGCCATCTTATCCGCGAAGGGATGATCGATGAGCTCCATTACCAGGAGACGCGCGTGCAATCCGCCCACACCCTGGAAGAGAGATGCCTCCCCGTCTCCTCGTGGTTTTGCACTTCCTCCCGATCACTCGTACGCATTCTCGTGCGCGCGGCCGTGCAGTTGTCTATTCTCTCTCCCTCTCCTCCCCCTCCCCCATCTTTTTCCCTCGCTCTCTCTTTCTCTCTTCTCTCTCTCTCTTTCTCTTTCCTTCTTTCTCTCGCTCACTCTCTTCTTTCCTCTCTTGGATGTTTCTCTCGACTCGCAGCACGTTGATGCATTTACTCGCTTACCGGTATAACTGCCGCACCATTATAAAAGCCGGTCTCTCCCACCCTCTTTCTCTCTCTCTCTCTCTTTTTCCCGTTCCCTCTATCTCTTCCCTCATTCTCGCTTCTTCCTTGGCTCTTTCAGGGCCCCGATAGCCGATGCATTTCGCAGCCGTTCAACCTGCGCGTCCCCGCAGCATTCTCTGCGCGATCACCGACCCCGTGTACCTGGTCGCGCCGCGCACCGCATCGCGCCACCGCGCGAAGGAAAATCACGGAGGAGCCGCTACGGCGCGGAATCGCTCACTCCGGCATTCTCGCGCTTCGCATCCCGGCCTTGCGCCGTCGCGAACATTTTCGAGCGCGCGCCGCGGTCGGAATACGTATAGTACTTGAATGTGATCCGCTTGCGCGAGATATGTTTATGGTTAGAAACGAGAAGAAAAACCGTGCGCACAAAACGCGCGCGCGAAACATGCGCGCAAAGAAAAACTTCAATAGTTGCGTCATTATTCAGTATGTAGTAAAATTGATTTCGCGAAAGAGAAGATATAAAGTCAAGAAGGATCCTGTAAAATCATCGAGAGAATGTCATATTTTATGTCGTATTTTGTGCGTTTCTTGTATTGAAGAGAAGGAAAGGAATTCGATATTTTGCACACGTTCAACAGGTTTTCAAAATGACATCGTGAAATAGAAGTAAAAATCCGACATTCCAATGAGAATAAACATATATATATATACACATATATAGTCGTGAAAGATGGTTAGAAACTGTCCGAAACACAATGCAATGTGGAAACATTCCTTGGAAAGTACGCGTGGAAAATGAAGAATGTAAAGAATTTCGTTTTCAGAAGCTAGCTATAGCTGCTGTCTCGGTTTCACGTGTACAGCTTGCGTAGTAGTACTACAGAATGTTTCGAGAAAACGTTAACGCATGTTTGAAAGAATTTGTATGAAATGTGCCTCAGGGCTCCGAAGAATCTATCTGAAAGAAATTTCAGGAATTGTATTGACAATAATGGCGAACGAGTGACTGAAGGCAAAATACATTTGTTACTATGATATCTTGTATGTTATCAAAAATCTGTTTTTTTCTAAAAAAAAAAAAAACATTTTACGTTGCTTCCATAAGTGTTAATATTTTTTTTGAACATTCTGACGTATTTTTTTTCCGATGACGTTTGTCACGAGCGTCGCGATCGCGCGAAATTAATAATATTATCGCGTGGGCGATTCACGATCCATGTACCGAGACTCTGTGTGTGATACGGGGGCTTTCCTCGTACGATAGAACCGCCAGAAATCTCGTTGGTGTCAGTCGCTACTACCGCGCGCTTCCAATATGTGTTCGCCCGGATACATATTCTCTGATATTTTTATTTCGATTATATACGGGAGAGCGCCAGAGAGAGAGAGAAAGAGAGAGAGAGAGAGAGAGAGCCGCGGGGTTTTATCGCTCGTGCGTGCACGTAGGAGGTGTGTGTATATGTATGTACGATGTGAACTACATTCCAGCGGCATGAGTAACCATGTCTTACGCGTTCTCCACACTTCATGTCCTTCCCTTGACAGCGATTTTGTTCGCGCTCTCACGCACTACGGGATCTGATTATGAATGCCTTCCACAGAATATGTTTGTTTGTAAATTAATGCGTATAATGCGTATGAAAAAGAGGAAAAGAACGAGCACAATTGCATTATTTGAGATAATGGTACAGTATGTATTAGTATGTATGTAGCGTATGTGTGGTACATATAGCGTGTAATGTATAAATAAATAATAAATGTAAATAAATCAGATCGGTGCAATAAAACAATAACATTGGTATTGTTTAAATTTCTCAGGCAAATATATTTGTAAAACATTGTTATATAATATTTATCGTTGTTTTTTTTTTCAAAAACTAAAACTATCACAAGATCGAAACACTTCTAATTAAAGTGCCTGCATCGATTTCATCATACGAGATACAAGCGCGTTGTAAATAAATAAAATTATACAGTGTTAGGCTTAACACAAATTGATAACGTAGATAAGCTTACTTACTCGTGTCATTATGTTCATAATTTATCGCGTGCATTACTGTCGTACAGATAAATTGCCAAGTTGTATTATGTGTGTATATATGTGTGTGTGTTCCATAACAAAATTTACGTTACAAAACGTAGTATTGGACGTAAAGTAAGTGTTTTTTTGTTGTTAAAGTAACAATATAAAAAAAATAACAATCAGTTGTGAGAACACGCGGTTTTTTGCGTGAAATACGAATATTTTTTAGAAGTTGAGGAAACAATAAAGAGATTACATGAGAATCTAACAAAAGTGAATTTTTCTTAGATGTCACATGAAATAATTAAAAAATAATCAAGAAATCAGTCTGTATCTTTTGATCCCCCACTTTCTTATCTGATAACAAGATTAGAGATCGTATCAAAGATCGCACACGAAGCATTTTCAACACATATATCTACTGCGAACGTTAAGTATCGCGAGTTGATAAGTATAATGAGTACGCGTGCGAGACGAGGTGACATTTGTCGAACAAACTTGTCGCGCTTTACATATGCAAAAACATATGTTTTATATACATATATTTAATAAGTATATGTATGTCTCCAATTTAAAAAGAAAAGTTTTATACGCGACGATCAAATTTGTAACAAAGTGTGGAAAAGTGCAAAGTTGTTTCAAGAATGAAAAATACACACAATACGTTTTCAAAAACGCAATAAACGCGACGAAAGATTTGCTCGAAGAATTTGAATAATCTCACATTTTGTATCCAAAAGTTTTTTTTTTTAATCTTTTATTGATTAATTTTTTATTACTTTTTTTTATTATTGTATTTTGTTTTTATTTAGTTTAGCAATCTCCCCTTATATTAGATAGTTTTCTGATGAAACCCAAATTGACATTACGTCAAAAAATTGGAAGAGTTAAATTTTCTCTCTCTTTAAAATTGAATTAAAATATAACAAATTATTTAAAAAAACCTACATTATATCTACATTAAAAATCTACATTATATCTACATTATATCTGCATTATACTATTATTATCGTAACATTTCTTACAATATTAATCGACTTCGATCTTTTGTTGCGATAGCTGTACATCGACATTACCACTACCTTACACATTTTCAATTATTCCGCGCACTCACACAATCACATCTTGTTTTCCCTGTGTATCGGGAAACTACTCAAGTAGCGCGCACACATTGCTCGCATTGTATCGCGGAACTTCGCCCGAATACGTTTCAAAAAAAAAAAAAATCCGCGTAAACGCGTTTATTATTTTCTTTCTAACTGTGATAACACCACACACACACACACACACACACACACACACACACACACACACACACACACATCTTCAAGGGGATACTCCACAATCAGCTGATCGATCATTTAACGATCGTACGCCAAGTTTATAGCGTACAAGTGTTGTCAGTAATGTGAGAGGAATAAATTTTACGACAAACACATCATGGCCACATTAGTTGCGGCAGATTACGCGGTTATTGGTGTATTAATGTTGATCAGTTCCGGCGTCGGTCTGTACTATTCGTTCACTAGTGGCCGGCAGAAATCGACCGAGGTAATTAGATCCTACATATCATGCTGTTTATACGACGTTACGTGCTTCTGCGGTGTGTTACATTTTAATAACTTTCGATATTACACCACGACTTGTTTGTCGTTCGATTTCGAGCTCTGACCGAGCAATCGTCCGCAGGAATATTTCATGGCGAACAAATCGATGCGAATGATCCCTGTTGCGATCGGTCTGATGGTTTCGTATTTGTCGGCGGTCAGTCTGCTAGGAGTGAGCTCCGAGAATTACGTTTACGGCACGCAGTACTCGGTGATCAACATCTCTTACGGCATCGCCACGCCGTTCGCGGCCTACCTTTATTTACCGGTGTTTTTCAATCTCGGCGCTACGAGCAGTTTCGAGGTAAGAAACCAAAACGAAGCCAACGAGTCGAGTAATTAACTCTATCGCGTGCGCGGGGCAACCCCATCCCGAGATCGGTCTTGTCGAGAAGAATCTGGAACTTCTGGATAAGAAAAAAAGAACCACAAAAACAAGAAGATAACGAGAAAAAGCAAAACGAAGGGAAAACGTTTCGCGAGAAATTCGCTCGCTAACAAGCAAATACGCAGGAACGCAAATATCATTGAAATGTTTGTTCGTTTGTCGGTTGTAACAGGACCAGTCTCGGGAGGGAGAGGAGAAGAGATTTTTTTTGGATATAACGGTAATGAAACGTTGCAATAAAATCAGAGCTCCCAATCGGGATATCAATTTGGCTTGTAACTGTTGCAGTATCTGCAGAGGCGTTTCGGCACGGTCGCCAGATTAGTAGCCAGTCTCGCCTTTTTGCTCCAGCTGCTTCTCTACACCGGCGTGGTGTTGTACGCGCCCGCTCTCGCCCTAGAAGCCACCACCGATATCACGAAGAACGTGAGCGTGATGCTCATCGGGTTGGTCTGTACATTCTACTCGACGATCGGCGGCATCAAGGCGGTCCTCGTCACCGACGTGTTTCAGGGTCTGCTGATGCTGATCGCGGTCGTCATGGTTATCGTCACCGCGGCCGTCGACACCGGCGGCCTCGACGCAATCTGGCAAATCGCTCGCAACGGATCCAGATTAGAATTCGATAAGTAATTATCCGATTAAAGCGAGGTCGCCCCCCCCCTCCCTTATCCGAAATAACGATCCCGCGAAAGAGCAAGGCGAATAAAAATAGACACCGAATCGTTGTCAAACGACGTTTCGTTCATTTAGTTCAGGTTTTTGCACACTATGCCCGCAGCGTCTCTCCGGATCCGACTGTACGACACACGTGGTGGAGCTTGACAATCGGCGGTTTCTTCACGTACCTGTCCTTATACGGCGTTAATCAGGTGCAGATTCAGAGAATGCTGACCGTGAGGTAAAGCGAGCTTGATTTCCGATCGGTCGCGTGTCAATCGAGTCGAAAAAAAAAAAAAACGACTCGACAATTCGCACCAATAATGAGATCACACATTATTGGTGACGATCGATAAAGAAATCAATTACAGTTTTATTTTATTTTTACACAACGTTGATGACGCACTTGAACTAGTGCATCTAGTGACTTCGCATGTGGTCAATATATTTTTTCTACACGTTATCATTCAATTACAGATTTCATGTATTTTTGTTTTTTTTTTTTTTTTTTTTTATATTTGCGATTTGACTGAAGACGATCAGAAGTAAACAATCGAGACGTCTGGAATATATAAATGTCTTGTTGAAAAATTATCCGCTGTCTCATTGTCAACAGTGTTTCGTCATCAGTCTTATCTGTTTTTTTTTTTTTTTCAATCGTCGAAGCTAACATTCAAATATTTAATTTGCATAATGCTAATTGGATCAGTTGCGTTGAGACAGACACTTTCTACATCACCGTTTTACGTTTTGCTGCACTATACTAATTTCGATTTTATTAGAAATCTAAAATCCGCTCAGCGCGCGTTATGGTGGAGCTGGCCAATGGCGTCGTTCATGTCGCTCACACTGTGTTTCTCCGGACTGGCGATGTATGCGAAATATCACGATTGCGATCCGCTCAAGGAAGGCAGGATCACTTCGACCGACCAATTGATGCCTTTTTACGTGATGAACACGTTGTCCAGGTATCCCGGTCTGCCCGGACTCTTCATAGCCGGGATTTTCAGCGCCGGACTCAGCACCGTCTCGGCCACGCACAATTCCCTCGCCGCTGTTATCCTTGAAGATTACATCAGGCCTCTCTGCCGTGTAAGGTAAGACTCGTAAAAGCGTGAGGAATCGTAAAAATGCACACGGGCGCGCTCTCACACAAATGCAAGGTATACGGGAGAATCGTTCGGGAGTATCGCGGCAATGCGAATTCCTCGAATCTCGCGACAAAAATGTGTTACTTCGATTTTAATATTTTTGCGGAATGCGCGACGCAAAAAAAGTGAACAACATTTGATTGCAGAAAGAAAGAACTGTCCAAGAAGACGTTGATAGTCATCGGAAAAATTTTGACCTTCGCAGTCGGACTGACGTGTGTGGCGGTCGCTTTTCTGGCGCAATATCTCGGCGGTTTGTTGCAGGTGCGAATATTTTTTTTCCTTTGAACTCGAAAGGACTTTGAAAGTTTGCACTTATATTGTTTGCGAAAGTTTTTTGCTGCCGGGAAAAAAATTGATCTCGCGTTCGTTTGAGAATTGTCAATCTTTCGATATGCTTTTGTGTAACGAGATATCTGCTTTCAGGCAGCCCTGACGATCTTCAATGTCGTTGGCGGACCTATGCTGGGCTTGTACACGCTCGGTATGTTCGTTCCGTCGTGCAATCAGAAAGGAGCGATCGCGGGTTTCGTTCTCAGCCTCGTGTTTTCTCTGTGGATAGGATTCGGTCAGCCGAAGGCGCCGATTCCACGTCTGGGAGTCAGGACCGACGGTTGTGGATTCAACGACACCGTTATTGAGTATCACGTAGTAGGCGATGAATCGTTAATTCATTCGACCTCGCGTTACGAGTATCAGTGAGTAAAAATCAGCCGCTTGTTATTAATGCTTTTTTTTTTGTCAGCCGATGAATTCTTCGATTTCGACTTTTTTTTTTTTTTTAATAAATAATTACAGGTCGGAGGAGAACGAGTCCTACTTCTATCTTTATCGCATTTCCTACATGTGGTACGGTCCGCTGGGATTTCTTGTTGCGCTGATCGCGGGATGGATCACTAGTTCGGTCGCGAGATGTATCGGTAATGAGAAGGACTCAACAGAACACGATCCCAGTTTGTTCAGTCCGATTGTGGCGAAGTTGATGCAGAAAACACAAAAAGAAGAACTCGAATTTCGCAATACGATAACGTTTAATAAAGATAGATATTAGAAGCTATACAGACACCGTCTCTAACGCAGACGAATATCTCCAATTAACAAGTGTGATAAAGCTGTATAATATATAAATTATACAGAATTTTCTTAAAATGTGTGTACATATATATAATTACATATTTTTTTATTTATGTAAAGTAAGCTTAAATAAAACTTTTTTTTTGCGCAAAAAGCAGAGAGTTCCAGATTCGACTGGACAAAGTAGTTTTTATAGATAGTTTTTGAAATACTGTTTTTCACATTTTTTAATTACAGCGAATATTTTGCGTATTTATGTTAAAAATCAAGCATTCGATATCTTCGAATAAAAAACTTGTGTATAATTCAGCGTTATTCTTATTCGAAGTCTGAGCTTCTCGTGAGCCTTTAATATTTGTGTTGGTTTAAAATATTTTTGTGTCTCACAATTAGAAATACAAGTTCTCTATCTCTCTCCGCTAATGTGAGCGGAATGTCAGCTGAGAGCGTCGCGGCGGCGACGTATATGCGACACAAACACCGCGCCGGAACCCACGAACGTGTGCTGTACGCTTTACCGAAACGTTCGCAAATCACGATGGAATGTTGCCAGTCTGGTGTGTGCGCGCGCGCGCACCACACGGTGACACACAGCGAGCGTAAAGCAACGACCCGCGCGTCATGCAGATCTTACGTAAGGAAATAACGTCGTCGAAAATTCAATTCCCAATCCAGTTTTCAGTTCCTCTCACGTGATTATAATTTTAAATCCAAAATAAACTAAAAAAATAAATAAATAAATAAAACAGGTCGTGAAATATATTACAGAACGGAATTTGTGTTTTAGAAGATTTTGCAACCTCTGTACCAAAACAACGTATCTTGAAATATTAGAAATCGACTGTCACATTGTTACAACAGTTGCACTATAATTATTGAATCGCTCTCGAGACTTTTTTTCAATCTCGCGTATTAAAAAAAAAACCAGTCGGAATCGTGCGACGCAAGCGAAGCTACATAAAGGATACACGCGATATTGTAGATCTTCTAACGTTCTCCGGTAATTAAACGAAATTACCGAGTTGCGGTATCGCGTCGCCGCAACGCTCGCACGTTCTCATTATAATGCCATGAATTCTTCGCGCGAGAAACAAATCTCTCCCCGGCGCATATAGGCGTCGCTTAAATGGAAGCAACGGAATACGCGCGTGCAATGCATTCCCACAGCACCTTTCATTTTTTTTTTTTTTTTTCAAATATAAGTCTGCAATTTAATATTATCTATATAGTGTAGTTAGTTTAGTTTATTTGTTCAAAGTAGATATACTGCGCACACCTGCTGCATTTAAGCGCTCAACTTCGCAATTAGAGCGAGTACGGAACGAGTATATTTGACGTATTTGCATTTCATTGATTGTCACGTGCGCGTGTACAAATGTGCGACCGTATGTACACACATACGTATTTAAGCGATACGAGAAAACTGAGTTCTGCAATGCGCAAGATAGATGCAGCATGGAAGATAATATTAAATAATATTGGGAAATAAGATCATAAATTGGAAAAGAAAAAGAAGATAAAATATGTATAAATATGTATGTATATTGTTGAAAATTTTTTTTTTTACATTTGATAGAAATACCTCGCTTCTTATGTGCAACGATTAAATTTATTTGCACGCGTAGAGCGATTGTAAAATTTATTGAGAATATTTTAAGGCCAATGCGAGTCATTGATACTGACTGATGACATATAAATTCATTTGTTTATCACGTTTGTGAATAATTAAACATAAATTCCAGATAAATACTTTTCGGCTTTCCAAAAAATATACTTTCCTTTAAATATACTGAGCTGCGCTGCTTCAAAGAGAATAATTATTGAAAAAGAGTTTGATAAAAAAGGTAAGTAAATTTACCTAGATTCCTCCGCCCTCTAAATCCTCCGCCAACGATTTTACTGAATCCACCTGTAACACGCGAAAAAATCAATTCTAAATTATTTCGACTGTATTAATTGCATTTTCGAGAGATGCACATTTTGTACACGTTAAAAAGTATTGCAGAAAGAAACAAAACAGAAAGAGGAAGAAAAAGAGAGGGGAAAAAATGATCTCTTTTTTTCAAGAAATATCACGCGGGAATGCGATTTTCAAGCGATACGATCATCGAGAAAACTCCTCGTCGTTTTATTCTTACGCTTATATTTTGGGAGACCTCTCGGCTTAGATAGAGGGATTGATTCAAGCTTTCAGGGAGCGAGAACTGGACGATGCGGGTTAAATGCACGGTCATCGCGCGCGGTCCAGGCGAAACCGAAGAAGTGGGTCCATACAAGTTGCGTAGCTCGGGAGCTTGTCATTATATTCACATTATAATCCCATCAAGGTGCGCCTTTGCTTAGAGCCGAACAGCCACGAAAATACGGCAACCCACCTTTGTCCATCCTTGACCGGTTCGTTCGACTGTCCTGTGTCGCATGCGCGCTTTTTCGTTGGCCAAAAAATTCGATAAAAAGAACAGCAATATCGTGACATTTTGTTTATATTCAACGAACGTTGGATTTTTGATGACTCAAGAAAATGTAATTGTCTCTCCTGACGAGAAATTAATTTCAATATACAGATTTTTTCTGAATCCTAATAAAATTCAGCAAAAATCTATTTTATTTTTCACTTATTTTTTCGTTTCAACGGGGAAATCGCTTTGTATCAATCGTGAAGACCGCTTCTTCTATTGATACGCGCGATGATCGTGGCGCTTTTTGATTCTGTTTTCCTCGTCATTGCTCTTGCACACGCGGCGTGCCGCAGCGATATACCGGTGAAAGCCAACCACGACGATAACCTACTCCGATGTGCGGCGCACACTGCAGTTGCAGCTGGCGGCGCGGCACAGGCAACTTCACGAAAGGAGGAATCCCAGTTACGCGCGAGCGCACACTGTTACATGCGGCAATACACTCGTGAGATACTCGTGTGGAGTAACGTGCGCGCCGGTTTACTTCCGTTGGAGGCATGCGGCACGCGGCACGCGGCACGATCGCGAAACGAGAGAGAGAGAGAGAGAGAGAGAGAGAGAGAGAGAGACGAAGGAACGCGAAGAAGAGAACGGAAGAAGAAAAGGAGAAAAGAACGAGCAAGGATAAGAGATGAGGGAAGATGATTAGAAAACGAAGGGAAGGAAAGGAACAGAGGTATAGATACCACCGGTGATTCCTCTTCGCACAGCTGCTTCCAGTTTCGTCTTTTTCCTCTTTCTTCCTCTTGAATTTTCATTTTTTGTTTTTTTCATTCTGTGATCTCTTCCTCTCTCTCTCTTTCTTTTTCGTTCTTTTTCCGTTCGCTTTGACTTCCATCTTCCTCAATTTTTATCTCGTTCTCTCTCTCTCTCTTTACCTTTTTATCTTGTTTCCTTTATATATATCTCTCTCTTTCCCTCGTTCCGTTCTTCTTCCTCCTCTTACTCTCGGCCTCGCTCCTTCTCTCTCTCTCTCTTTCTCTCCATTTTATCTCTCGCTTCCTCCTTCTGTACGGCCAATTCTTCGTATTATACCAGGTTGCGGCGTGGAATGCGGGCGTCCTTCGTCCGCTTCGAGCAGCGTCCAACCGATGAGCCCCGCTAGCCTTATCCTTCGCCTGGTCCTTCGCATGCGCACCTTAGGGCTCGGTAAAATTAACCTGGAATACTCGCTCGAAGAGAAATGCCCGTCTCGCTCTCCTCTCGCTTCGCCTCGCTTTCGCAAAACCTGCTGACGCGCTTGACGCGCGCTCTTTCAGACTTATCGTTGATGAAATTAGCGCAAATTATTCGGATACACCGATTAGGAATGTCCGATTTAAAAAAAAAAAAGGAGAGAAAAGAAAAAATATCAATCCTTTTTCCTTCTCGACGCGTTTGCTTGTTATTAAAAACTATCGTCGTCGCGCTTGATTATTATTCAAAATGCTTTCGTGACAGTTGTCGTAACTCCGCGCGATGTGTAAGTTCGTAAAATAAAAATTGTGAAATTTCTTTGACAAATTTTTAACATCAGTACGCACGTGCAACAATGAATTATTCAGAGGAAAAATATTGAATCAGTTTTGTAACATTGTTTAAACAATCTAGGCGCATTTTGAAAGAACTCGTGAGCTTCTTCTTCAGAATTCACGATAAAGTGTAAATATTCTTGAGGAGAACAATTAGAGTTAAAAAAAAACGCGCGTTGAGTCTGAAAAATCCTTGCTTCTGTTATTTACTTTTCTACATAGAACATATTTGTTTTCTTTAGCAATTCTAAAAGCGTCATTGAAAAAAAACGACCCGACGTAATCGATGTGTCACTGAATTAATATCTCATCAGTGTTTGTCATTGTGTAGGAATTACACCGGAGTATATTTCAACAAGCCTAATCGCTCGAGCGCGTGTTGCATCAGAACGCGTGTTGCGCACGCGCGCGGTGATGCGTCGTTCAAAAATGTGGATACGCCGTCGATTCTTGAATGGGGATTACACGAAACGGCGTTATCTCACACACGGCCCGTGACAGATGACACAATAGAGTGCATTGACACTTTATATATCCCCGCGTTATCCCAATAGCGTCTTACCTCACGCTGGCACACATATACGTGTTTATATATATGTACATATATATATATATACATGTATACATATATATACACACACGTACACACACACATACACACTCGCTCGGATGCGCGTAGAGCGCCCGATGAAGGTGGTGGTACTTTCACCAGGTAGCCGGATTCCACGATGCACACCGATAGCCAAGAGCAGCCCACTTTGGAGGCTGCATTCCACTCGTACATACTGCATACTGCGTGTATATTCACGTCGGAATTAAGTAAGTAAGATATTACCCCTAGTAGAGAGAGAAGAGAGAGAGAGAGAGAGAGAGAGAGAGAGAGAGAGGAGAAAAAATAGCCGCTTGTGAGCTTATGATCTTTTTGAAGAAACCAGCAATGCGGTTTTTATTCGCACGTGCTTGACCGTGTGTGTGTGTGTGATTCGAGATAATGTTTAGTTAGCTTACTTGATTGATTCGTATAGAAGTATATTTATTACTTGTCAATTATGTTATCAGCGTTGTCTCGTTATTCGCGTCATTCTTCGCGGTTTACTCATGAAGATTTTACGTAATGCGGTTTTTCCCGCCATTTTCCAGTCTGTTATACATAATGCGATCGTAAAAAAAAGTATACATTACATCTCTGTGAAATCTCTGTAATTATACTACTCCTTTATACTCGGAAAGGAAATTACACGGAGATCATATTCGCATTGTTTGCAGTCGTCGTATAAATTGAAACGTCGCACGAGCAGTTAAAAGTCCGGCGCACACTTAGACAGAACATTTTTCTTATTTAACGTACTTGTACAAGAAAGTTGAATATTTTTTTTGTGAATTATACTTTTTAGAAAATAATGATTCAGCGCGCGGTTTCGCATTTCGCAAGATTCGCCGCCAAACCGTCCAAATAGCGGAATGCTGATCCAAGTTCCGGACTTCTTCTTCGATCATGTGGATTTAGGAAAAAAAGAAAAAAAAAAAAAAGATTCCAGCTATTATTTTTCCGGCGCGAGACAAGATTACAAACGATGACAGTTTTAGTAAGTGGTTTGAGTTAATTTTTATCTCCATGGGACGTGACATATCGATAATTTAATTTAAAAAAAACAAGGTGCGCTCGGGTTTCACGCGAGCGCGTACGGGGAGTTAGAAAAACGACGCGCGCGTTGAGGAAAGGAAAGGGCGCGGTAACGCGGGCGATAAGAAGAAGAAGAAGAAGAAGAAGAAGAAGAAGAAGAAGAAGAAGAAGAAGAAGAAGAAGAAAAGGAAGAGATAAGGAAGAAAGAAAAAGAAGAGGAGAAGGATTGCTGCCCCCGGACTTTATATAGAGGCAGGATCGTGAAGCTACCGAACACCATCTGTCGTTCTGGCTGTAGATACTAATCTCCGGGACCCCGAGAAGAGATATAGACCGAGAAGCGAGAAATGATTCGCTTTATCTTAGCCATCTTTTGGCATTCCTCCGGCACTCCGAAGAGCGGCTTCGGCAACTCCCAGGAATTATAATCATCCCTCGCGGCACAATCCTTAAATATTTATAAGTTTTGTAGAAAATCTTACATATATATATATATATACATATACATATGTATGTACGTATGTACAACTGCGATCTCAGTGGTTGCAGGGCAAACCACTGAGATCGCAACGAGAAATCGATAAAGAAAGAGAGAAGAAATAAAAGAGAAATAACGTAATTTCGCAGAAACGCGCGTGCACATCTAATCTGCTTTTTGTTTTTTCACTCATTTTTTTCATTCGTTTCAGATAAATGCAATAAAAAAAAAAAAAGGTCAATTTTTCACAAACTTTCTTTTCCAAAAGAACATGAAAGTTGTGATTTTATAATACACTTAATTAGATAAACATGATTTAGTACGCGCTTTTATTTACACATGAAACATAAAACACACACATTTGACAATTCGATCGTTTCAATCGATTAAACTTTGTCTTCTTTGCATTCTTCTGGCAAATTGTTTTTGCCTTATGTATTGTGTGTCATACATCGCGCGTTACCTTCATCGAAAAAATACTTTCATTGCGTTTATATACCGCGCATCGGTCACCGTGCCACGTCGTCGGTTTCTATGAAGCGACAAATGCCCAAGTATTATTTGCCCGCCGCAGCGGCCTCCAGCTCAGCCTCGAAAGGTATTTTGCACCGGCTATATTTACGCAGAACAAACACACACGACACACGTCGGACCCAAGTGCGTGAGACATATACAAAAGCAGTTCGTGCTTGGCAGGTAACACGTGAAGGGTAATAACTTGAGATATCGTGGATGTTAGGTCACGTAGTCGAAAATATTTTTGCCGTGGTGAGATGCGAGGAGAGACCGAGAGAGAGAAAAAGGAGGAGAGGAGAAGGAGGACTCTTTTCTGTTCCTCCGGCTGCACACCGGAACCAGATTTCTGAACCGAATACCACGCCGCATTTCTGCGAATTTAATCCTTTCAGAGCCGCGTTTGCGCGCACGCAATTTACATCTTCCGCATTTTTCACGTCTCCGGTGACTGAGAGCTCCGAACTGTGTGTTTAAAATGTAGCGTGACAATTACGGCAATCTAAATAACTAAAATTCTTTCAGATACTATACGCAACGTAATTGAAAAAAAAAAAAAAGATGACAAATTTGCGAATTATTAATTTTTGTGTAAAACAATGTTTTTCTTATCAAATAATAGATTTACGATCTTTTTTCTCATAATATTTTTAGCGTCGAGAAGATAAATAACTTCATCAGTAAAAACCTTGTGTTCACAGAAAAAAGAAATAGCATCACATTAATATTACAAATCTGATGCGTTGCGCAATACAAGCTCTCGTAATATCGGCACAATAGTAGAAATGACATAAAAACGAAGTTATATTTTGCCAGATGTATTCAGCTATCAGGAAAATCATTAGCATACACAAAGCTTACGAGAGATTTCTTGGGAGAAGATTAAATTCATTATGTGTGACTTATAGGCAAAGAATTTCTGCTACGATTCCTGTTTCGCAAAGAAGTTTGAATTCACAATTCTCGGTTGTTTTACAATGTAAATCAATTTCTCAGAGGTTCGCAACAAAACACGGTGAGATACGTGTATTGAACGCAGCCAAATTAATTAATCATATATGTGTTACTTTTTAAATTTTATAAAACATAATGCCGTACCATTTGCAATTATTATTGCAATTTTTACGCGCGCGAAGGTGCTTTGTACTCTTCGCGATTCTTTATTTCTTCGTGCGGGCGGTGATGCAGATTTTGGAACGTGCACAATGACTGGGCGACACACACGTTATACCCGACACTGTGGGAGGGTCTACCCGTTTCTCTCTTTCTCTCTCTCTCTCTCTCTCTCGTATATTAACATTCAGCGCGGCATACCACCGATAGACAGCGTCAGCACTGGAAAACCGTTCAGCGCCTACAATCAGGCGTTTCTGTACTGTTACGCTGCGCCCGCGCGCCGCGATCCTATATGCGCGCTCGCGCGGTACAATAGCGTAGAGAACAACGCGCGCGCGCGTTTTCCGTCGCGTATATATACATGTTCAACGCGATTTCCATAAGATACGTCGACTTCTTATACAAATGCCAAACGTACATATCTGGTTTTGCACACGCACCTGAAACCGGTGTGAACTCGCGTCGGTAACTCTTCGCACGTGATTCCGAATGGCAAAACTGAATATTTTTCAACATATTTTTTCAAAAAAAATCATTTATAAAATTAAAAGTAAAGAGAAATTTACTTATCTAGATAAAGTATAAGTGAAATAAATTAAAAACATATAAATTGTGTGCGTTATACTTCTTATCAAATTAATTTTACACTCCAGATCAGTAATTGCAAGCGTTCTAAGCGTTAAAAAAAAGCTTCAGTTTTTACATTATCGTTGTTACACTCGAAACAGTAATCGCAAAAAAAAAAAAAAAAAAAAATAATCGCAATGTCCGACTTGTACATTAGAACTTATCAGCGATGGAATGCAGATTGCGGATACGAAGATACGAAAGTATTTTAAGAAACGAGTGTTGAGACACACGCCGAGTGTATTACGTGAAAAGAGTCTTATATATTCTTACGCAACATTCCTCGCAAACCTCAGTTGGACAACGCGCAATTGAGAGAATATGTGGATATACCGTGAGCAGTTAGTAGCAAACGTGCGAGTCGCGAGCGTGCAAGCATGCGCATGCGCGTTTACTGTGGAATGTGCGCTCTCGCGTACACCCCGCGCTCCCCCCCTCACCCTTCTATCTTCCGGGCTGACCCTTCCTCTCTCGGCCCCTCCTCACCGTTCACGGGGCCCTTGCAATCTCCTACAATCTCCCCTTCATCGTTCTGCCACGCCGCCGCCGCGCTGCTTCGGTACGCTCGCCTTCTTATCCCGCCACACCGCGTGGCTGCTTCGTGTTCCATTCGACGACGTGGTGTCACACACAGTGGTTTCGAGCGCGCTTTTTCCGACGTAAAAAATGCCTTGACCTGCTCAAGATTTATAGGGTCATTCGGTATTTTTCAATCAGACGCTCTTCGCACGTTATGACCGTCGAGTGTCTCGAGAGTATTAGAGTTTTCGCGAAGTCCCGCAGAGAAGTCTGAGGAAAATATTACACCGGTGTCCAATTGCGAGCTCTCTCTTTAGCGTTTTGTTATCCTTGAAGAATCTCTCGAGCTCGAGGGAGAACGAACGATCGATTAGATCGTTTCTCAAAGGGCGACTCTCGATATCTCGAAATGGCGAAAATCTCACGCTCTCTTTCAAATGGAATCTCGATCAGAGCCATATCTAATTCACAATGGCGGGTGACGGTGTTTCTTAACAGGACCGATTCTTTTGCGTGCTATTTCGTGTCGATTATTCAGTTCGGTTATTTATTTCGGATACTATCGCGCGCAACACGTTACGGATTTATTTAAAAAATCTCGTTTTCAGCGATATTTCTTCTTTTCGTTGAAAAAGCGACAAAAAAAAACACTCGTTGATGTCACATTGTCAAGATTGAAAGAAAAAGACTGAATGAAAGAAAGAGAGAGAGAGAGAGAGAGAGAGAGAGAGAGATTCGTTTTTTGATATTTAAATTTCCCTCTTCGTATTCCTTTTCTTCTCCGATAGAATATAGAAAATTTGTTTGTTTCACTGACGCGCCAAAACCATGTCCAGAAAATATGACCAACATCTTGAAATTTAAAGCCACAATTGTGCAAGAAAGTGTGAATTACTGACCTCGATCTTACAAGAATAACTCGCACAGTTCGGTGAATTAATTATTTGTTTTGGAGTGATCGCTCTTTTGAATAAATTAACGATTCATAATCACTTGTTTATATAATAATTTTTATCTCAATGACGAAGTATGACAAGACGAGTGACATCAATCAACGTTAACCATGAAATATGTAAAAAACAAAACAAAAAAAACTGCAACTCTAATATTCATCGACGCATTCCAATCGAGTTAATGAGAGCTTACGTAAAATATTATCACAGATCTACTAAAGTCAATTTGCATGCTCCACGTGGGGGATTCGACTGAATGTTCGCTGCTTGTGCGCGGTTCTCGCGACATCGCGTCGCCATAGCGCGCTGCGCCATACATGCCCGGGAATCAGTTGCGCGCGAAAGCGCGAAATCCGCGTGTGTGTTTCGTTCGTCTCATTAATAGCCCAAGCTCGCGAGACGAGTCGCGCGCGAATTAGTGTCAATGTTATGCTGTAGCGTTTACACACGAATCGAGGCGCCGTTCGCTCGAACCGAAAACCGAGGAACGCGAGCGAGCGAGCGCGCGTGGGGTCTCTCCTTACCTTTCCTTCTTGCAGCGTCTTCGCAGCGTGTCCACGGTCGATGATTTATCTTCACGCGAAGGGCATCCCGGGCGGCGCGCGTAATCCGGTTAATCCAACGTGACACAAGGTGGGACGTGCGCGGGTTAACCGCGCAACAGGTGGTCGTCAAAGGTAAACACTCGCGTAGACGAGATATGTATTCGTATTGTATTATGACGCACAGAGCACAGAGCACATATCCTTCTTCGCACGTTTGCGTCTTAAAAAAAAAGGAAGAAAAACCCCGGCGAACTCTCGCCTGTCTCTCGTTGCGCGTCCACCGCAGCAGCCGCCGCGCTCTTTTTCGCGGCTGCTGTCGTCTTCTCGCACGTTGTCTGAACTCCGCGAATAATCTGCGCGAGAGCCGTAGCGATCTGGCCAAAGATATTTCGCGGAGCGCGGAATGCCGGATCGGGAATGTAAAAAAAATAACGAGACGACGCGGCGGAGAAGAACAGCTTCTCCGTGGCTCCTTTTTGTCCGCTTAACTAATTACGTCGACGTCCCGAAGACGGCGACGTTTCCTTCGGCGGCGTCACGAACGGTGTGTTACTCCACTGTAAACGAAGGAATGCTGTGAGGCGAGAGTTCTGGCCAACATACAAAAGCGTGAAATGTGCACGACGAAATGTGCAATCACAACACTCTACACCGGCGGCCGGCGAGTGACTGACTGACTGACTGGAGGCACACGCCGGCTCCACCATCAGGCTCTTCGTCTCCGACTCCCCCGGCACCCAAGCTCCAGCCACGAATAATCACCTTGGCCGTACGCGTGGTATGCTCTGGGAAGAGAGTCAGAGTCAAAGTCATCCCGGTCTCAAGAATTTACGATTGAATCAGGCGTGATGACCCGACATCGATCAAGAGGCGCGGTAATATCTCGCGTATATTATGTTGAAAATCGGTAAAAAAAAAGAAAGAACGTGATAAATGTATATTACTCCCAACACGGCGTGGCGATTAAAAAAAAGATGGAATTCAGAAATAATATTCAGAATTAGTGCCATTGTAAAAAAATCTTACATTTTAAACTGTAAAGAGAAAAACATTTTCTATATATATTACATAACGTATTAACAAAAATAGCTGAATTACTTTGGTATCGCAATTGAATAAAATTCATCTTGTATTTTAATTCAAAGATAAGTGTGTGAAATTCTAACTAAAAAAAATATCTGTTTTATATAATGAATTTTGTTTCATCAGGTTTTTTTTCTAAAACGCACTCTTGCAAAATATTTTATAATTTATTTTAGTAAAGTAACACATTATATTTGTTTTAGTGATAATAATTTTGTTTGACATTCTCTTTCGAGAAAGATTTATGTGAGTTGAGAAGTTTTTCACTTATATAATGATTTAATATACTTACTAGACTAGAAGCATTAATCACACGAATCTTTCCATGTGAACTTCGATCTTATTCTTTGATTATGTTTTTTCCTTCTAGAATAAAAATTGTGAAAGGTAAAAATATCATTAATTTTCGATTCACATGAAAATT